ATTTTCTCCTAGTTTTCCCCATTATTCTCCCAAAACTCACACTTTCCCCCCATTTTTTTCATCCCATATGATCATTTTTTCCTTCTTTTTCTCCATTTTTTCCCCCTGCACTCACCAAGACTTGCCAGGGGCTGGTTAGGATCACTGACCTCATTTTTACCCAGTTTTCCCCCATTTTCCCCTGTTTTCCCCCGTTTTTACTGGGTTCCTTTCATTTTTCCCCATTTTCTCCCGTTTTTCCCCCGTTTCTCACTCACCATGACCTGGAAGGGGCTGTTGGGGATGTGCTCCCCCCCGAATCGCACACAAATCATAGATTTAGCCCCATTTTAATCCATTTTCACTGGGTTTTTCCCCATTTTAACCCATTTTGACGGGGTTTTTTCCCATTTTTTCCCTGTTTTTCACTGTGTTTTTCCCGTTTTCTCCCGTTTCTCCCCATTTCTCACTCACCATGACCTGGAAGGGGCTGTTGTGGATGTGCTCCCCCCGAATCTGACACAAATCACACATTTTACCCCCATTTTCCCTGTTTTTCCCCATTTTAACCTATTTTTACCAGTTTTTTTCCCCATTTTCACTGGGTTTTTTCCCATTTTTTCCCGTTTTTCCCCCGTTTCTCACTCACCATGACCTGGAAGGGGCTGTTGGGGATGTGCTCCCCCCGATTCTGACACAAATCACTGATTTACCCCCATTTTCACTGTTTTTCCCCTCATTTTACCCGGGTTTTTTCCCATTTTTTGCCCATTTTTCCCCATTTTCTCCCGTTTTTCCCCCATTTCTCACTCACCATGACCTGGAAGGGGCTGTTGGGGATGTGCTCCCCCCGAATCGCACACAAATCACAGATTTACCCCCATTTTCACTGTTTTTCCCCTCATTTTACCCGTTTTTTTTCCCATTTTTTGCCCATTTTTCCCTGGATTTTTTCCCGTTTTTTCCTGTTTTTCCCCCGTTTCTCACTCACCATGACCTGGAAGGGGCTGTTGGGGATGTGCTCCCCCCCGAATCGCACACAAATCACGTATTTGCCGGGCTGTGGGGCSGTGTAGAAGATGTCGAAGGTGCCGTCGGGGTTCTCCACCACGTCCACGTCCACCTCGGAGCCGTCGGGGGTGCACACGGAGCACGTCACCTTCCCCTTGCCCGCCGCCTTGGCGTCCACCGTGATCAGGGTCTGCTCGCCCAGCTGGATCGTGGGGCCCAGACCCGGCCCTAAAATGGGCACGGGGTGAGGGATGGACCCCAAAAACCCAAAAAACCCGAAAACGGGACCCCAAAAACCCTAAATGGGACCCCTTTAGGATATCTGTAATGGGAACCCCCAAACGGGATCATTGCAGTGTCCACCGTGATCAGGGTCTGCTCGCCCAGCTGGATCGTGGGGCCCAGACCAGGACCTGGAACGGGCACGGGTGAGGGATGGACCCCAAAAACCCAAAAAACCCAAAAACGGGACCCCAAAAAACCAAAAACGGGACCCAAAAAACCCAAAACGGGACCCCAAAAACCCAAAAAAACGAAAAACGGGATCATCTCAGCATCCACCATGATCAGGGTCTGCTCGCCCAGCTGGATCGTGGGGCCCAGACCCGACCCTAAAATGGGTACGGGTGAGGGATGGACCCCAAAAACCCAAAAAACCAAAAAAATCCCCCTAAACAGGACCCCATTGGGATATTCATAACAGGAACCCATTGAGAACCCCAAAATGGGACCCCCTTGGCGTCCACCGTGATCAGGGTCTGCTCGCCCAGCTGGATCGTGGGGCCCAGACCCGGCCCTAAAACGGACAGGGGTGAGGGATGGACCCAAAAAACCCCAAAACAGGACCCCAAAAACCCAAAAAACCT